GGCCAGCCTGGTCTACATAGTGAGTTCCAGGCCAGCTGGGGCTACAGGGAGACCCTGTCTCAAAAAGACAAAAAAAAAATTAATAAAGGAAAATGAGGGGCTGGAGAGACAGCTGAGCGATTAAGAGAAGTGATTGCTCTTGCAGAAGACCTGGATATGAATTCCAGCATCCACATGGTGGCTAACAACTGTCCATAACTTCAGTGCCCGGGGATCCAGTGCCCACTTCTGTCTTCCACAGCACTGCATGACACTGGTGCACTTACACACATGCAGGCATAACACTCATACTCATAAAAAGAAATACATAATTTTGAGGGCTTTTTTTTTTTTTTGGTCTTTTTGAGGCAGGGTCTCCCTGTAGCCCCTGATGCCCTGGAACTCACTATGTGGACCAGGCTGGCCTTAAACTCACAGAGATCCGCCTGCCTCTGCCTCCAGAGTGCTGGGATTAAAGGCGTGCACCACCACACCCAGCCTAATTTTAGGGTATCTTTTTGAGACAGGGTCTCCCAGTAGCCCCAGCTGGCCTGAAACTCGCTATGTAGACCAGGCTGGCCTCGAACGCACGGAGATCCGTTTGCCTCTGCCTCCTGAGTGCTAGAATTAAAGGCATGCGCCATATGCCCGGCGTAAATAAATTTTTTAATGAAAATGCAAGGGAGTGTTTAATACAAACGTGCTTTATTTATGTGGATATTTGTTAATACAGCACTGGGGTTTGAACCTAGGGCCTCACACAGGAAGCGCTCGACCCTCGAGCTGTATCCCCAGCTCCCTTCCCCTCTGGTTTTTCCTTTTATTTTCAGAAAGCGTCTTGTTAAATTGTTCAGGCAGCCCTCGAATTCGAGATCCTCCTGCCTCAGCCTTCCAAGTAACTAAGATTATTAGGCCCGACTCCAATATGTATTTTAAATATCATCCTGTGAAGATTGCGCAGACGGTGCTTGAGGGGGTGGCTCTAGTACAGCTGTGGCACAGAAAACAAGAGGCTTCTGAGTCCAAAATCTCATTCCCTGAAGATGAAAGAGCAGAAGACAGAGCAGGACAGGAACTTGGAAGCTGGGCCAGGGGCCTTGGGAGCAAAAGATGCAGAATCTGCGGAGTGTGTAGTAGGCTGAGCTGGATCCCAAGACGGGGTATCCTGTCCCTTTCGGGGTGCGGGGCTGAGATTCGCAGGTCCGGGATCACGCCTCTCAGGATAGAACTGGTCCAGGACGGGCGGGGCCCGAGGTGGGCGGGGCGGGAGGTGGGCAGCCCCCCGCCAACGCTGCAGTGGCGGGTTCATTCCGGGCTCTTCGGCCCGGGGCGGAGGAGCTCCCGGAGGCTTAACGTACCGGCCCCGCAGGGAGCCGGGATCCGGACCCGCCGACGCTGGGAAGCGGGCGGCGGAGGAGCCAGGTCAGCCGGGACCCCGCGCCGGGAGCCGAGCCCCGCTGGCTCTGGGTGAACTGGGCCCCATGCTGCGCTCCCCGCCGCCAGGGGGCGAGCGGCGGTGGGGCTCGGAGCTGCCCGGTCCAGCCCAGGGGACCTAGGCGCCCGCGCGGCGGGAGTGGTTGGGTGGAGGGGCGGTAAATCAGTAACCCGCAGCGCACACAGGGCCTTTTGTCCCCCTCCGTTCAAAGAGCACCCTGGCCACGGTGCTGGTTACTTATTGCCCACCGGGGCGGGGGCGGCCAGCCAGCTGTCTATACAGCTCCACTTGTGAACCCGCTCTCTCGCACCTCCCCCCGAGGGTGACGCGCGGTTGGGGGGAAGGGGGGAGGACTAAGTAAGAGCACTGTCGCCCTTGGGCCGGTAACTGCGCTGGGAGTAAAAATGAAGAAACCGCCGCTCCGAGAGGCGCAGTCACTTGCCCAGGGCCCTCCAGCACGTGAGTGCGGGAGGCTGGAGGAGAACTTGGTACTGTTGACAGTCGGGTCTTCTGGCCACAAGTGCCGGCGATCTTCAACGGCCAGCCGCGCTGACCCGACTAAGGACTTTGAGGCTGTGGAGTTCACGGCAGCCTGAGAGAGGGGACGCAAGAGCTGCCCCTGCCCCACCCCGTAATTAACTGGAGTCTTTTAAAGAGGGTAGGGGGCTGGGCGGGGCTCTGAGACCAGGTAGCTGAGTCAGGTGGAGAGGAGGAATGAGGGGCGCAGAGATATCGTCAAGAAAGCAAAAGTGTCCCGTTTTGGAAGCTTCTGAAGGGACTAAAGGGACAGTGGAATGAACACGATTTGCACCGGCTCAGAAGGAGGCTTACAAAAGCTGGGCCTGGCACACGGGCCTGCCTTAACAGCTGCTAGTGAGGCTGAGAGTTCCAGACCTGCCTGGTTTACAGAGTGAGTTCAAAGCCAGCCTGCCTGGTCAACTTTAGTGAGACCCTCTCAAAACCAAAGAAAGAAACAAGAAAAAGATGGCCTGCAGTTAACCCTTAAGGGCTTGTAAACTAGGGGATGGGATAGTTGGCTTTAAAAACAACAACAACAACAACAACAAAACAAAAGCCTGGGCTGGAGAGTGAAAGCTGAGAAAACAAGATTTGCTGAGTCCCCAAGTAAGAAATGATCATGATCTGCCCTGAGTAAGGGTAGGGAAATGAGATACACTCAAGAGTGATTGAGAAGGCAGAGTGGACTAAAATGTAGGGGGCAGAGGGCTGAAGAGAGGGGGTATCATGGGCTTTCTGGGCAGAGTTCCCAGTTTGGTAAAATGTGGAATGCATCTTCTAAGAATCATGTTCTGTGTTCACTTCAGCAGTACATATACTGAAGTTGGACCGATCACAGAAGATTGGCATGCCCCTGTGTAGGGATGACATACAGAGTCACAAAGCATTCCATGTTTAAAAAATAAATAAATCATGCTCTGGAGTTAGGGATGTAGCTCTGTGGTAAAGCACTTGCCTAATATGAGTAAAGCCCTGGAGAAAACACAGATTCAAAGACACTAGTGTCACCTGGTTGTTGCCCAGGACTAGGTAACAGCCAGTAGGTTCCTGGGACTATCCTGGTCACTCACTGGTCACTGGTCCCCTGCTCAAGATGAGGCTCAGCTCTGAGTCTTCCTTTTGGGAGACAGACATCCTCCACCATAGCATTTGGAAGAGGATTACCAGGTGGGCCGAGCATGCTTATCATACTTAACAGTATCAGTTCAGAAGTAGAGACTGACTGGCCAAGGTCAGACTCAGGATTCCAGGGAAATAGTCAGTCACTGGGATGAAGAGAAAACCTCACCAACATTCTGTGTGCCCTGTCCCTACATGTATTATCCTTATCCTCAAAGCAGTCCTATGAGGAGAATTACCTAAAAAGGTACAGACACAGGGAGTTGGTATAATGAGTTAGGATTTGAATTTGGTACAGACATGTAAACTTTGTATTTTTTACAAAACCAGCTAGAAATGTGGCTCAGTGGCAGTGTGTTTGCCTAGCATAAGGAGGCCCTGAGTTTGATCCCTAACTCTGCAAAAAGGTTAAACAAAATCCTCCATTGTCTAAGATGAAGTTTGTAAGGGCACAAAATAGCCAAAGAAGTGTCCTGAGGATACATTTCTGGCTGAGAATGAAGAGGAAGGTCCTGTTTGACCTGGATTGCACTGCTTTGTTAGAGGAAGGCACCCAGCCACTGGAGGGATCCAAAGCTAGACATGGAAATGTCAGTAATGCTAAAGAATGGCGTCTGATCGATAGCATCCAGATGCTGAAGTTTGGCCTTGTATTATATTTCACTTTTTTCTTTAGCTCTTCAGCGATGAATTCATTTATTCAGAAAAAAGTAAATGATGTGTGCTAAGAGTGAGCAAAAGACATGTCACCACCTTTGCTTCCCTCCAAGGAAAGAATCCCCAAACTGCTTTTTTGTGAAGTCATGCCAGGGTCTCAGTAGGACCCAAGGCAAGCAGGAAATCCACCCCCACCCTTGTGGAACCTCCTATGGGGAGGCCTTGAGCTCTGGCAACATCAGAACTTGTTCTAGTCTCCAGTTCAGGCTACTACCTGACTGAGGGCTTAGTTGAACCTGCTGACTGCATCCTGTTGCTGGGTCTTCATTTGTAAAATAAGGAGTGGAACCAATAGAAGGCCATATGTAGCAGGAACTCTTTCTCCTCTCTGTTTCAGGAAGGTGGTCAGTGGGAAGTCCAGCCTGGGTCCCTGAGAGCAACTGGAAGGAAATGTGGCTGCTGTTGGCCCTACTGAGCATCCTCCTGGGGGCACCAGCCTTGTCCCTTGAGGCCTCTGAGGAAATGGAGCTGGGTATGACCTCTAAGGTGGGGGAGGGTGGCAGGGATGGGAGGTAGGGTACCAGAAAGGGACTATTGGATGAGCAAAGCCCGAGAGGTTCTACAGGGCTCTGGCCCCAAGAAGGAGGCAGCAGGGCAGGGCTCAAGCACTGAGATTCACTGTGTGGCTCCTAGCAAGTACTCTCCTATCTCTGTGTCTACAAGAGAGAACTGGCCTTGCAAGGCACAGAGCCCAGGCTAGGCCGCAGAGCCAGTGGTGAGCTCCTTGGTGTGTGTGTATGTGTGTATGTGTTCTGTGCACTGGGTAATGTGGCTTGGGAGGTCCAAGAAGCATGTGTGATGTATGTACTGATTATGTGCCTCAGATGTGGCATGTGTCCTGTAATTGGCACCTATAGCATGTACCGTGTGTGTGTGTGTGTGTGTGTGTGTGTGTGTGTGTCTGTGTGTGTGTGTGTCTGTGTGTGTGTGTGTGTGTGTGTGTGTGTGTGTGTCTGTGTATGTCTTGGGCAGTGGCATGTCTAGCATGTATGACAAATGTGTGTGTGACATCTCCCAGAAGTGTGGCATTGGCCCTCTACAAAGCATTTTAGCATGTGGCTGTATGTACAGGAACAGCATGTGTTACAGGATCTTTGTTCCCTATGTGTGTAGCATGTTCTCTGTATGCAGGGGCCTGCCTAGGATGGGGCTCACTGACTTCTGCCTTCTGCCTTCAGAGCCCTGCCTAGCCCCTACCCTGGAGCAGCAACAGCAGGTTTTGACTGTGGCCCTTGGGCAGCCTGTGAGGCTGTGCTGTGGGCAGACTGAGCGTGGTGGCCACTGGTACAAGGAGGGCAGTCGCGTGGCATCTGCTGGACGAGTACGAGGCTGGAGGGGCCGCCTGGAGATTGCCAGCTTCCTACCAGAGGATGCTGGCCGCTACCTCTGCCTGGCACGTGGCTCCATGACTGTCTTGCACAATCTTACCTTGATTATGGATGGTAAGAGGGTCTGGCTGGAGGTTCAAGGGTGTCTGGGGAGAGAGACCCTTCTCTCTTGGACCTTAGATGCCTCCCTCCATCTCTGACTAGACTCTCTACCCTCCAACAATGATGATGAGGACCTCAAGACCCTCAGAGGCTCCCTGAATGGCCATGTTTATCCCCAGCAAGGTCAGTATGTCTTCTCAAGGACTCATGTCCTTACTGCCTATCTGGTGCCTGAGAAGAGACTTGTATGGGAGCTGGAGCCACCTTAGGGGATCTAATTACTCTTTCTTTTTCCTCTAGCACCCTACTGGACACACCCCCAACGCATGGAGAAGAAACTGCATGCAGTGCCTGCTGGGAACACTGTCAAGTTCCGCTGTCCAGCTGCAGGCAACCCCATGCCCACCATCCATTGGCTCAAGGATGGACAGGCTTTTCATGGGGAGAATCGCATTGGAGGCATTCGGGTGAGTCTCTGGTTTCCAAGTCCCTCTGCTCCCACATTTTCATTTTTTTCATACATTCCCTCACGTAGATAAATAAATCTAATGAAGAAGGTAATTATTTAGCCAGAGGGCTAAACTGTGGGTAGCTATGGCTCAAATTCCCAGTCTGCCACTCTCTGACAAGTGATTTAACCTCTCAGCCTTAACAACTCCTTTGTGTTTTGGTGGAGTTTTCATTGTTTATGATATTGTTGTGTAGTGTTTTTAATTATTTTTATTGTTTTTATTTGTGAGTGTGTGTGTGTGCGTGTGTGTGTGTGTGCGCGTGCGCGTGTGTGTAAATGCCATGTGTCTATGGGTGCCCACTGAGGCAGAAAAGGGCATTAGATCCCTTGGAGCTGGAATTACAGTCAGTTGTGAGCCAGCCAATGTGGGTACTGGTACTTAAACTCCAATTCTCTGGGAGAGCGGCAAGATGAGCCATCTCTCCAGCCCTGATGATACTGTTTTTGAGACATGGTCTTACTACAGAACTCAGGAAAGTCTTTAACTTCTGCCTCCTGACTAGCAGGTCCTATAAACTGGGAAGAAACATTGACCAATAGATGTCATCAGACCTTAGCATCTCACTCTGAGGATGATATCTACAGGCTGAGCTCTATGCCCGTAAAGATGATATTGAGACTCAGACTGGGCAAAAACTAGCACAAGGTACACAGCTAGGGAAGGTATAGCTAAAACTCAAAAGGCTCAAGTCAGGTTCCGACATTCCTTGGAGCCCTTTTCTTTTTTCCAAGGTTCCTGGCCTTGGCTTGACCCCCTCAGGGCCCAGGAAGATTGAGAAGAACCATGTAGACAGAATTTGTCCTCCCCCTGCCCATTTTTTTCTGGGTTGGATGTTCCCCCTTAGACACTTCCTCTGCCCCCCAGCTGCGCCACCAACACTGGAGCCTGGTAATGGAAAGTGTGGTGCCCTCAGACCGTGGCACATACACATGCCTTGTGGAGAACTCTTTAGGCAGCATCCGCTATAGCTATCTGTTGGATGTGCTGGGTGAGTAGATGGGCAGGAAGCTGGGTTATCTTGGGCTCAGTCCTGGAGGGGCGGCAGGGGTGGGAGTGGGGGAAATTCCTTGACTTGCAGGCAAGATGGAATCAGTTCCAGGAAGCCAAGTGTGTCAGAAGGAAGCACTGTGTTTATGTGGGCTGAAGGAGCGGAAGTTTGTCTAAAGAAAAAATGGGGAAGGGGATCCAGGCAGATGGCACAGACTGAGTTTAGTTCTTAAGTATGAAAAATGCAGTACATTTATAGGCAGGTATATGCTGGGGTCCAGCTTTCATACGGGGAGCAGACTGTGGAGGTTTTGAATGTGAGGCTGAGAAGTTGTCCTGGACCTAAAGGGAATGGAGCCATAAAAAAGTTTATACAGGATAAACAGAAGATAAGGTCTAAACTGCATGTCAAGAAGGGCCCTGGGAGGATGGCTAGGGGCAGGTAAATTGGGTGATTTTATGGGTGCCAATGGTCAGGGTTGACGGCCTGGCCTGGCCCCCAGAGCGGTCCCCGCACCGGCCCATCCTGCAGGCGGGGCTCCCAGCCAACACCACAGCTGTGGTGGGCAGTGATGTGGAGCTGCTGTGCAAGGTGTACAGTGATGCCCAGCCCCACATCCAATGGCTGAAGCACATCGTCATCAACGGCAGCAGCTTCGGTGCTGATGGCTTCCCCTATGTACAAGTCCTAAAGGTGTAGTTTCTGCTACTGCCTGGGCCCTGCCCTTTTCCCACTAGGGGGCTGGGGGTTGGGAGGTCCCCAACAACCCTTCCAGCTAGTGTGGCCTCAGACCCTGCTGTGACCCAGTATGTCCCCTGCCTCAGACAGCAGACATCAATAGCTCAGAGGTGGAGGTCCTGTACCTGCGCAACGTGTCAGCTGAGGATGCAGGCGAATATACCTGCTTGGCTGGCAATTCTATTGGCCTCTCTTACCAGTCAGCCTGGCTCACTGTGCTGCCAGGTGAGCACCTGAGGGGCCTGAGAGAGGCTGCAGTGGCCTTCTCTGGTTCATTGTGGGCTATGACCTATTGGGTGGGCAATCTCCTTGGGCAGTAGGGTCTGGTCTTTGGATACAGTATTTACTTGTGGTACCAGGGGTCTAACTGAGCCTCATGAATGCTAGGCAGATGCTCTACCATTGAGCTCAGCAAGGATATATGTTTGATTTTGCGTGATTGTCCACTCATATATGACACTTGGGGATATAGGACTACATAGAACTACAATTTTTCAAGTTTGTTCTTGTATGTGTTGGCAGCTGTGAGGACCTGAGTTGTGGGGAAGGACTGAGACTAGTCTGACCACTCACTGCTCAGTTTCTTTGTCTGTGTATATCCAACTGCGAGGGCAGAGGAAGACCTCACATGGACAGCAGCAGCGTCGGAGGCCAGGTACACAGACATCATCCTGTATGCATCGGGGTCACTAGCTTTGGCTGTGCTCCTGCTGCTAGCTGGGCTCTATCGCCGGCAAGCAATCCATGGCCACCACTCCCGCCAGCCTGTCACTGTGCAAAAGTTGTCCCGTTTCCCTTTGGCCCGACAGGTATGGTGCCTAGCCCCCTAGCCCCTGTCCCTATCAGGCTCTCAGCCTGGCCCCAGCAGGCAGAGACAAGTGTCCTACTTTACAGTTCTCTTTGGAGTCTGGCTCCTCTCACAAGTCAAGCTTGTCCCTGGTGCGAGGTGTCCGGCTGTCCTCCAGCGGCCCCCCCTTGCTCACTGGCCTCGTGAATCTAGACTTACCTCTCGACCCACTGTGGGAGTTCCCCCGGGACAGGTACACTGAGTAGGGTGAGGATGGGGGTGCCAGCTTGGGAGTGGTACTCACAGATCTGAGGCGTGGGCTTTCTTCGTCTCCAGGCTGGTGCTTGGGAAACCCTTGGGTGAGGGCTGCTTTGGGCAAGTGGTTCGTGCGGAAGCCTTAGGCATGGACCCATCTCAGCCTGACCAAACCAGCACCGTGGCTGTGAAGATGCTGAAAGGTACGCGTGGCAACCCAAGCAGGGGGTACTTGGGCCAAAAAAATGAGACTGTGAGTGTTGCTTAGGTACTAGAAGAGGTTGCAGGTTTTCCACCCTTGGGCATGGGGTCCAGCTCTGCTGCTGGCCCTGGCAAGGCTGACTTCTGAGTCTCACTTTCTTCTCGTGTCTCCCTGGAGGGAAGAATGGCCCCTGCCTCTCAGGTTGAGGTTCATGGAAGGTGTCTGGCATATAGGATTCAATAAATCTTTTTTTGGAGGGGCAAATGGAATTGGTTTTCTTGAGGCAGGGTTGCACTTAACTCAGGCTGACCTGGAGTTTACTCTGTAACCCAGGCTAGCCTGGAACTCATAGTGATCCTCCTACCTCAGCCTCCCAAGTGCTGGAATTAGACCTGTTGGCTCAGTAAATCTTAACCATTGAGGGTCTTAACCTATGAAGATCTGCGATGACTAGGGCTTAAGCTCTGGCGTCAAATCTCTTTTTCATCCCCATCATTCCCACTGAATTACACACCCTCAGGATGCACACACACACACACACACACACACACACACACACACACACACACCAGCCTGGGCAATTTAGTGAAACCCTATCTCAAAAAATAAAAAGAGGTCTAGCTAAGTGATAGCGTGTTGCCTTAACATGTACAACCTGCAGTAATAAGGGAAAGAAAAAGTCCCAGACCCCAAGAAGCAGCCCCAGTGTTCTGCAAAGCACACTTGGCCTTTGTTCATTGGAACCTCTTTTTAAAAGTTTTTAAATTTAAGCTGGGTGTGGTGGTGCATGCCTTTAATCCCAGCACTCGGGAGGCAGAGGCAGGCAGATATCTGTGAGTTCAAGGCCAGCCTGGTCTACATAATGAGTTCCAGGACAGCTGGGGCTACAGGGAGACCCTGTCTCAAAAAGACAAAAAAAAAAAAAAAAAGATTTAAAATTTATTATTATTGTATTTACATGTGTGATGTGTGTGAGAGAGAGACTGTGGGCATGTAGAGGTCAGAGAACAAGTTATTGGAGTCAGCTCCAGGGAACAAGCTTCACATCTTCAGGCTTATACCTTCAGGTCAGCCATCTCTCCTGTCCCTTTATGTTTTCTTCTCTGTAGATCCATAAGTGCCGTGCTCACTCGGTGTGCAGTTGCTTAATTTATATTATTTGTTCCTGGCCATTTTACCAATCCCTCCCATTGGAACCTCTTGCTGCTGTGCCCCAGGGCCCCAACTACTGTTCTCCTCCCTCCCTCCCTCCCTCCCTCCCTCCCTCCCTTCCTCTCTCTACTCTGCACAGCTGGAGCCACCTGGCACTTTCTGGGAGGCAGGAAAGGGATTGAGAAATACATTTTTTGATATTGGTATGGGGCTGAGTGTTAATGTCTTTGTCCCAAGGCTACATACAGATCAGCCCTGGGAACCAGGACCCTGGTCCTCAGCCCAGGTTTCTCAAGAGAAGCCACAAATGCAGACACCTCATTTCCAGCTTCTCCTAGTTAAGCAAATAGATAGAAAGGATTAGGACACCAGCCTGCTTCCTGTCCTTTAGGAGCTGTCACCCAGCTCAGGGACTAGTTAGCACTGGTCCAGACACAGCTTCCTTCCTGTGTAGAGCTCTTGCGCCTCTCCCATATTCTGAACCTGCTCCTGGGAAGGTCACCTCTCTATCAGATCATTATAACCTTTACGAGAAATGGGGTGTGATTCACTGTTCTCTTTCATATAAGACAAGCCTGAGATTCAGAGATTTGTGTGTGTGTGTGTGTGTGTGTGTGTGTGTGTGTGTGTGTCCATGTGGGTATAGATGAGTTTGCCCATGAATTCATCTGTGGCAGCCAGAGTTCAACATCAGGAGTCTTCTATTGCTCTCTAACTTTTTTTTTTGTGATTGTTTTTTGTTTTTTGTTTTTAGTCTTTTGGAGACAGGATCTCCCTGTAGCCCCAACTGGCCTGGAACTCACTATGTAGACCAGGCTGGCCTCGAGCTCACAAAGATCCACCTGCCTCTGCCTCCCAAGTGCTGGGATTAAAGGTGCGTGCCACCACGCCTGGCAAATTTTATTATTTTTATTTTTATTTTATGTGTATGTGTGTACTGCCTGCATGTAGGTAAGTACACTTGTGTCATGCAATGCCTGCAGAGGACAGAAGAGGCTGTCAGATCCCCTGGAACTGGAGTTACAGACAGTTGTTAGCTGCCATGTGGGTGCTGGGATTCAAACCTGGGTCTTCTGCAAGAACAATCAGTGTTCTTAACCGCTGAGCCATCTCTCTAGCCCCTGGCTTGTGTTTTGTATTTTTGAGACAAGGTCTCCCCATAGCCCCAGCTGGCCTGGAATTTATTATATAGATAGATCATGTTGGCCTCTCACAGAGACCCACCTGCCTCTGCCTCCTGAATGCTGGGATTAAAGGCATGCACTCTAATTTACATTTTGAGACAGAGTCTCACTGAACTGAACCTGGAGCTTGCTGTTTCAGCTAGTACTAACTGGTCCACTAGTCCTCCAGGATCCACCTGCCTACACCCCCATTACCCCAGTGTTAGGGCTACAATTGCTGCACCCAACTTTTATGTGGGTGCTAGGGATCTGAACTCTGGGCCTCATGTACAAGTACTTTACCCACTGAGCCATCATCCCAGTCTATTAAAGGAATTATTTTTGGAGGGTGGGAGGGCATGGTCATATAGCCCAGGCTTGCCTTGAACTCGCCAAGTGCTAGGATTAGAGGTGGGCTTCACAATGCCTGATTTTATGCTGTGCTGGGAACTGAATGCAGGGCTTCATGCTAGGTAAGCACTCTAAAAACTGAGCTGTATCCCTAGCCATAGACTTTTGAGGCAGTACAGCCTAACATGGTTCAGCCCCAGACCCACCCAAGCCTTGCTGTAGTCCTTCTTGATCTGTCCCCGACCCCATGCTGCTCTTGTGGAGTTGTAGGGCAACTTCCTCACCCCACCTGTTGGCTTTGTAGATAATGCCTCTGACAAAGATTTGGCAGACCTGGTCTCTGAGATGGAAGTGATGAAGCTAATCGGAAGACACAAGAACATCATCAACCTGCTGGGTGTCTGTACCCAGGAAGGTGGGGCATAGGCCAGGATGGGGTGGGGCCCTTGGGGTGCAGAAGCACAGCCCTGGCAACCTCCCCTGGCCCCTGCCTATCCCCTGTAGGGCCCCTGTATGTGATTGTGGAATGTGCTGCCAAGGGAAACCTTCGGGAGTTCCTCCGTGCCCGGCGCCCCCCAGGCCCTGACCTCAGCCCTGATGGGCCTCGGAGCAGTGATGGGCCACTCTCCTTCCCGGCCCTGGTTTCCTGTGCCTACCAGGTGGCCCGAGGCATGCAATATCTGGAGTCTCGGAAGGTGTGGACAACAGACGGTGTTCTGGGCCACTCTAACTCCTCCATCTCCACACTTTTCTGCTGGTGGCATTAAATGTCCTCAACTGCTGCCTCTCTCCCTTTTACCCTGACTTTATACCTTGCTGCCGTCCACATGCAGCTAACATTGCATGTCTACATTTGTTCCTCACCTAGTCCTTAATGCACAGGCCAGGCAAGGGAAGCTGTGGTGCAAGTGTGGGCCCTGAAGTTACACACTTCTTTCTTTTTCTTCTGGTGCCGGGTATTCAGCTCAGACCTTTGCCCATTTCATTCCTCATCTGTACAGTGGGTGAATGATCCCAGCTCCCGGGCTTTCTATGAGATGTTGTGTGCAACTCCCAGACATGCATGCTAATATACCTAAGTTCCTTTTCTGCCCACTATCTGCCCCCAGTGCATTCACCGGGATTTGGCTGCCCGAAATGTGCTGGTGACTGAGGACGATGTAATGAAGATTGCTGACTTTGGGCTGGCCCGAGGTGTCCACCACATTGACTACTACAAGAAAACCAGCAATGTGAGGGGCAGGGCAGAGCTAGATGGGAGTTGGGAGGAGTTGGGGCTGGTATGGCAGGTACAGGGCCTGTGGAACTCATCACCACTGCTCCCACTCGCTTCCTCTAGGGCCGCCTGCCAGTCAAGTGGATGGCTCCTGAGGCCTTGTTTGACCGCGTGTATACACACCAGAGTGATGTGTGAGTTCTGGGAGCTGGGGTCTCTGATATCTGCCAGTGATTACTATCCTACTTTAAAAGGGCAAGCACTTGGTAAAGTCAGAAGATCCTAGGAGTTTTGTACTCAAGAGATCCCCTGATTAGGCCTGGCACCCGTGTGGGACCAGAGTCTAAAAGAAATGTGGTCCCCCTCATTCCCAGGGGTGGATCACAAACAACTGCAGTAGCCCCTACCACAACCCCAAGGAGTAGGGAGGGAAGCTGGACCCTGCTGAGCCCTGGTTCTGCCTCCAGGTGGTCATTTGGGATCCTGCTCTGGGAAATTTTCACCCTTGGGGGCTCTCCATATCCTGGCATCCCCGTAGAAGAGCTGTTCTCACTGCTACGAGAAGGGCACAGGATGGACCGGCCTCCACACTGTCCCCCAGAACTGTAAGGCTGCCCTACCTTGCCCTGCTTTTCAGACCTCATCCTCTAGAGGCCCTGACCTTGGCCTCAGGGTTTGACCTTGGCCATTAGAACAGCACTAACTCACCTGCCTTCCCTCTTCTTTCTCTCCTTTGTCCCTGTTGCTCTGTCTAGAGTCTTGGCCTTATTTCTACTCCTTTCCACTGAATGGCCCCACCTAATCCTCCCAGGCCCCTTAGTCCTCCCCTTGCCCCAGGCCTGAGGCTTCTTTGATCCACCCCCAGGTATGGGCTTATGAGGGAGTGTTGGCATGCAGCTCCCTCTCAGAGGCCTACTTTCAAGCAGCTAGTGGAAGCACTGGACAAGGTCTTGCTGGCTGTTTCTGAAGAGGTACTGCCCCCTCCTGTCCCATGCCCTCTCATGCCTCTCCTTCAGCCTGAGGACATGGATATGCAGCATTCTGTCACAGGTGCTAGAAGCTGACCAGCTCTGTTCCTTACAGTACCTTGACCTTCGCTTGACCTTTGGACCCTACTCCCCCTCCAGTGGGGACGCCAGCAGCACCTGCTCCTCCAGTGACTCTGTTTTCAGCCACGACCCCCTGCCACTGGAACCAAGCCCCTTCCCCTTCCCTGGAGTACAGACATGAGCAGGGGTACAAGGTTGTATGGGCAAGTAGGCCAGTTAACTGCAACCTAACACATTTGACTTTGGCAGCTCCAGGCCTCTGACCTGAGGGTGCTGTCCCAGATCTCCGGCCTTGATTTGCAGGGGCCCATTCTTGGTCCTGGGGTTCATAGTTGGGGGCTTGTGCTCTAGCCTTATGCTCCTAACCCAGAGTTCAACCCTTGTCTCAGGGTCCTGACCTTGCCCTTGGACTTGTGTTCTGAGAACCCATTAGGGCTCCACCTCCTGGGCTTTGACACTCAGTCACCATATCAGGGGCTTGGCTAGACCTGGCAGCAGAGCTGTTGTTCTAAACCTCGCCACTTTCCAAAACCAACTGAGAGGTTTGAGGCCTCTCAATGAGGCTTAGACCTCATTGTCACAAGCCTCCAGACCTCACCCCCCACTGCTTGTTCCAGCATCTTGGTGGAAGGAGCATTGGCTCTGGTGTCCCTGAGAGACTAGAAGCCTGTGGAAAAACACAGGAGCAAATGGCATTTTATAAATTATTTTTTTTGAAATAAACATCTGTGTGCCTGGTGTCTCCCCTGAAGGGTTGAGGAGTAGGGTGGAAGGACTCCCCAGACTGGGAATTCTGCCTGGGTAACACAGACCAAGGGCTGTGTGCCAGGCCTTCGGTTCACATCCACCTCTAGCTGTGCCAGGGAAGACGTAGGAGCCAAAGTGCACCCCTGCCTCTGTCTATCTCTCCTACCAGAACCACCTTGTGTATACAATTGTGTGAGTGAGTGTTCCTGGCCAGAGGAGCCCACACAGCACCATCTGTAGGATGTACTCTTGTATCTTCTGCATATGTGCATGTGTGTGTGCTTAGCCCACAGCTGTCCCCAAGGGAGCTGACCATCCCCTCCCCCATCTGCTCAACATTAACCAAGCTGACCGTTAACACAGCATGAAAACTTGAAACCAGGCCTGCAGTCACTGCCTGCTCCCACGATCTGCCGGTGTGGGCTCAGTGTTTGTGGGGGCCATGCCCATCTCCCAGGCAGCAGCTGGTTGCTGCCTGGCTGGGCTGCAGCTGTCCCTCCTCCTGTCTCTATGGAGGAGGCTGTTGTAGCCCTGCTCTCAGTCCCCCTCTCATAGGAATCAACTTCCCAGATCTCTGAACCTGGAAACATTTCATCCTGGCAGTTATTGCTGCTCCTCACCCCTGCACCTCAAGGTGGGCCACAGGAAGGCCAGAGGTAGTGCCTGACCCAATGCTTGGTACTCTGTTGCCTGGTTCTGCAGACTCTAGGTCTGGATGGACTACCCAACCAGGGCACCCTTTATGGACTCTGCCTGGCTTGTTTCCATAGGTTCCCAGGGGGTGGTGGCTGAAAATATACTTAGGATCCCAAGGTATAAGAATTTAAATATGGGTCCTTGGCCAAGGGTCATCCTGGAAGATAGCCAGTTTATGAAGGGAATAGCTTTTCTTACTGTTCTGGGTCACCTCCATAGCTTCTCTAGTTGACCATATCCCAAATGGCACTACTCATCTTTCACCCAAAACTGTACTTCCTCCAGGGCATTCCATCCCAGAGGGGGCACCAGAAAAAAAAAATAGGACTTCATCCTGCTCATCTCCTTTCCCCAGGAACCATATTCCTTAGTGGAGTGTAAAAAGCACTAGACATGGGGCCAGTATTCAAATCCTTCTGCTTGTAGCATCCCACTGAGATACCAAGTCCAGCATTGTCACTCCTCTTGTGGCCACTGTCTTCACCAAAATGAGTGGGGTACCACTGCCCTGCCTACCTTCTAGGACTTGGGTTTTGAGATGAAATGTAGATGAATGTACTTATGATTAGCGATAGGCTGGCACTGAGGCCACATGGGTTACACTGTAGTATTTTACTGGGAACTGGGTCTCTTGAGTGTTTCCCTTCCTAGCCAAGGTCTCCATCACTGTTTTCTCTGTTCTCCTACAGATAGCTCCAGAGGCAGCACCCCAAAGCAGTGTTGGTCCCTTTTTTTATTTTTATTTTTTGGTCTTTTTGAGACAGGGTCTCCTTCTAGCTCCAGCTCCAGGTGGCCTGGAACTTGCTACGTAGACCAGGCTGGCCTCGAACTCACAGAGATCCACCTGCCTCTGCCTCCCAAGTGCTGGGATCAAAGGCATGCGCCACCACACCCAGCCATCAGTGTTGGCCTTTTATTTTCCTTCCTGTGCTAGCTTCCTAGAATTCTCAAACTTTCTGTATAAATACTGCTAACCAATTCTAATACTGGAGCTCCAAACCCCCAAACTTTCTGACTGAGCCCTGCTTCCAAACTTGGTCTCCCATTAGAGGTTACCCATCACAAGTTGAGTCCTTTACCAGTCCAGCCAATCCTTTTTTGAGGCAGATCTCTTAAACTTACTTGGAGCAAGAAAGACCAGAAGGTTGAAATAGTGTATAAGTACCAGGGGATGTAGAATAAAGAGCCCCATTACCCACACTTCCACCCTTGCTTGGCCCATTTTTAGGCTCAAGGTACCCATTGCTCTCCCAACCTTACAAGACTGACTATGATTTCCCTTTAATGAGGAAACCAAGGGATGTGCCTAATGTAGTATCTCATACCTCTGGACAAAGCTATTTGACTGAAGTAGGGAACTCTCTTAAATTCAGAAGCTCAGCTGTAGGCCAGGTATGGTGGCACATACCTTTAATCCCAGCACCCAGAAGGCAGAGGCAGGCGGATCTGTTCATGGCCAGTTTGGTCTACATAGCAAGTTCAGGCCAGCTGGAGCTACATGGAGACCCTGTCTCAAAAAGACCAAAAAAAA